ACCAGCTTTACCCTGTCACAATTGACTCAAGTAGCATCGATTTAAAAAGAGTGAAAGCATAAGTCTCATCTTTAATGGAAACTTCTCTGTTATTTGGTTTTGATGGTTGGTGTAAATGTAGTTTAATTATAGACCACATGTAACCGTGCCTTGGCCTCAGTGGAAATGAAAAACTTGGGATTAAATATGTCATATCTTAGTTATACATCAGAGATCCTTCTTAGTCTGCTGTGTGCTCGCTGTTGGTGCTATAGCACTGCCAATTGAGCTGGAATTAAAGAGGACATTGAGCAGATGTTTGAAGCCATTATCATTAGCGAGTCCTCATTTCCCCACAGTGTTTACCATCGTGCAAAATCTCAAGTAAGGCGTGTTTTTCTGTGCCGTAATGATATCACTCTACTCTGTATTCTTCTCCTGACAGATAGAGCTCTCTTTAAATTGAAGAAAAATGTTGTAGCCTCTTAAATATTTAGTGAGTAACCACACTATGCCGTGATAATTACTATTATGTTATTATTCTAATGAGAAGCCAGTAGTCCTAAGAGAGAGAAAGAATCAGGTTCAATACGGAGATTTACGCTGAATGTAACATTTAGACTAGCTGAAGGGTCAGGATACACACATGGTGTTGACTTCTATGTGACCACTTGTCTCCTCAGAACACAGGTGGATCATGTTTAGTTTAAAAATAATCAACTATGTTTTGAAAGCTTATTAGGAGAATATAGATCAACATATCAATTTGCAACTGTTCTTTAATTAGGAATACCAATCTTCTTTATTACAATGATCTTTCATTCACTATTACTAGAGAAAATGGTGAGGTGGGAGGAGAGTTTTCAAAACTTGCTCTTTTAAAAAATGTCACTTTACTGGGAGGCACAGTTAAGTAATCGACAACTAGTGGACACGTTGTTGGTTACAACTCATCCGGAAACGCCTTGGGAAGGAGCCATATGCTTTGGAAGGTCACAGCTCTGAGAGCTGTGAGGAACGGTTGTGTGCTGCACACCTGGGGTCGTCATTCGTCAGCCTCTACTCAGTGTCAATGAACTACAACAGCTTTGACTGGGTAGTCTAAAGACAATTACATTAAAGTTATTTTTGTGATCTGTCTGAGCCTCAGTGCTTTGTCTATAACAGATACTGAAAACTAACTCTTATAGTTGCATGGGGAATTATCTGTGATGATGAATCCACATAAAACATGTTCTTAGTTTTTGACTAGTTTAGATTGTTTCTACTCAGTGAAGCTATACTCTTTGCTACTAACTAAAAGGTTACCAGTTCGAATCCATCATCCACTCACGAGAGAAAGACGAGGCTATCTCCTCCCATAAACGTTGACAGCTTTGGGACCCCAGACAGCAGTTTGTACTTCGTCCCAGAGGATCACTGTGAGTGAGGAAGGTCTCCAAAGCAGTTGGTTTTTAACCTTGACTT